TGATACTAACTGCATGGATTACCTATATAGCACTTTCAAGAATCCATACCCAAATATAATATTCGATCGTACAACGACTAAAGAAATTGAAAGTATAATTAAGTCACTTAAGCCTAAAAATTCTTACGGATATGACGAAATCTCAGTAAAAATTCTAAAAATATGCTCTCCTTTCATCGCAACCCCCTTGAATTATATTTGTAATAGGGCTATATTATCTGGCACTTTTCCGTCACGTTTAAAATATTCTGTTATTAAACCTTTATTCAAAAAAGGTGATAAAATATATAAAAAATTATAGACCCATATCCCTGTTGACCTCCCTGTCTAAAGTATTTGAAAAAATGATATACATAAGATTTACCAATCATATAAAAAATAATAATATACTATCTGTTGAGCAGTATGGATTTAGAAGTAAGTCTTCAACAGAAAACGCTTCATTTAAATTGCTAAATGATGTTCTCCAGGCCTTGAACAATAAGTCAAATGTAGGAGGTTTATTTTGTGACCTTGAGAAGGCCTTTGATTGTGTCGATCATAACTTATTAATGGAAAAACTTAAATTTTATGGAATTGTAGATAATGCACACGCCTTAATTCAGTCATATCTCAATGATAGATACCAAAGAGTTTGCATTGATTATGATGATCAAGCATGTTCTCATACTTTTTCAGATTGGGGTAGGGCTAAGTGTGGTGTACCTCAAGGTTCCATCCTTGGCCCAATCCTTTTTCTTTTTTATATAAACGATTTACCCAAAGTTGTAAATAATATTTCTAAGCCAGTTTTATTTGCCGATGATACTAGTATCATCGTCAGTAATCCCAATATAGTAAACTTTACAAACGATCTCACTCTTGTATTTGAACAATTGAACATATGGTTTAACTCTAATTTATTATCATTAAATTATAATAAAACACAATATGTGCAATTTCGAACCACCAATGCATTAACAACTCCTATAGATATTAGCTATAAAAATAAACATATTCCTAACGTTACAAACACTCAATTTTTAGGTATCACTCTTGACAATTCCTTGTCATGGAAGGACCACATAGATGGACTTAAGGCTAAATTGTGCAAGGCATGCTAC